AAACATTTGAATTCTGAGAGTATGGATATGATTCTAATGTAATGTAAAACATGAGTTACATAATTTTTAAGATACCATACAATATTTGACCTTGAATGACCTTAAATGACCTATTTGTGGCAATCTGACCAGGTAAAAAATGATAATGGTATGGTTTATACATTGAATAACCTTAAATGGCCTTTTATGACCTTAATGACCATCTGACCATGTCACAAGTGTTATAAATCCTCGACCATGAAATATAATTTTAGATATCATAATTCTCATTAATGTGGTTTAAAAACCGATGTATTGATAAATATAGGATTTGCGTGGCAGCAATTTTGAAATTCAAGATGGCCACCAAAATGACCTCGAATGAAATATTGTAGTTCATAGTAAAGATTTTGAATTCTGAGAGTCTGGGTATGGTTCTAATGTAAAATATGACAACTATGTAATTTTAAGATACCATACAGTATTTGACCTTAAATGACCTCTTTGTGTCAATCTGACCGGGTAAAAAATTGTATGATGGTATTCCTTGACCATATAAAAATAGTTTCAGACATTAGAATTATAATTCCAAGTGGTTTAGAAGCGGAGATATAGATAAACATAGGTTTTATTAGGCGGCCATTTTAAAATCCAAGATGGCCGCCATAATGACCTCGGATGAGGTGGTTCCTACCATAAATTAAATGCTATGACCATAAGGAGCATGTTAAAAAAAAATGGTGCTTTTGTCCTTAATGTCCATATCCATCTGCTAAGCTGCCGTACTAGTAGTGCATAGGGAGCTTCATCTGTTTTTTCTTGGTCATCTATTTACTCACAGCTTCATGGATAGTGTTGTCACAAGCTGCAGTATAAAGTTCAGGGCCATTGATTGAAATTGCAAGAAGTGCCTCTAGCATTTGATTGGTCAGGCGAGTTTGCAGTCTATTCTTTATAAACTTCATTTGCTGAATCCGCGCTCTGGTCAGGCGTTGGAAATAAGGAGGCTCATAATTAAATTAGCTATTGAGAACAGGTAAGGGAAGACTACTCGATAAACAGACCGCATTCTGAGAAGCCTCTCTAACGTCCACTCCAATGCAGTTAGGATGATGGCTTTATTCTTTCTTTCCATCTCTCTCTCTCTCTCTCTGACTTCTTGGGGAAGATGTGTCTTGGCCCAATCAAGAAGGTCATACTTTAGCTTCCCCCATTCCGCAAGTAGTGCTTCACCAGCTGCATTGTCATTGGGGTAATAATGCTCTGCAATCAACAATATTTCATCCTGTCCATATTGGGCGAAAAAAGGTGAGTTCCTCTGAGGAATATGCAGCGGGTTTAGAATGGCGTTGGCACAGGAGTGGGATTGAATCTGCAAATCTGTCATCGATATTCCTCTTGAGAGAATCCACATACTGTCTAAGCAGCGTTTTCATTTTTTCCTTAGCTTCGTCATTCTACATGTCCAGTAAGACGACCACCTTGTTTCAAGTCATCTGACAAATTATGAACAGGCGTATTATTGTTGACTGTCCAGCTCATCTTTAACTGCCTCTACAAGTGAGCCTAATCTGCTGAAGTTCAGGTACCCTCTTTGGAATGCAAGACTTAAAGATGACAGCACAGGTAAAACAGACTTGTGAATATACCAGACTGATACGAGAATAACAGTGTGTTCATCTTTTTATAGAGGCCAGAGGCAACTGCATCTTTCTCTTCTAGTTTTTTTAGGGTGTGCAGGATTGCAATTATCTCATCAAATGCTGCCTTGACGGCCTGATCAAAAGACATCCACCTTGTCTTACAAGCTTGTTTAAGCCTTTTTGCCAACTTTTTTCTTACAGGTTGTGTAGTCAGATTAACTGCTCTCATGTTCGTTTGCATTTTCAGGAACATTGATGTCTTCTTGCTAGAGTATTCAAACATCTTCCATAGCTGTGTAAGCCAGGTGTGCGCGTTCAGGATCGGTTTCAATTCATCAGTTGCGTCTGCGCATGCTAGAGCCAGACGAGGACAGATGCAGTGCACCGTCAGCAAGTTGGGATGCTCTCTTTTTAGTCTGGCACCAAGGCCGTTCCTTTTCCCGGTCATGACCGCAGCTCCATCTGTGACAAGTCCTGACATTTCTTCGATAGGCAGATGAAGTTTATCAAATTGAGATGTTAGAACTTGATGAAGCGTTTCAGCATCGGGAGAGATGGCATCCTCCATCACATTTGCAATAAACAAAAATTTACTTTGAACTATGCTAGTACTACCAGGTTTCTCATCAACGTTCATTCAGTACGTTGATGAGAAACCTGGTAGTACTATGCTAGTACTACCAGGTTTCTCATCAACGTACTGAATGAAAGTAATCATTTGCTCCATTTGTGCACTGTCTGAAGAGTCGTCATGCTGTTACCATTCCCTTTACCACAATACCCGTTTCAGCAATAGCTCTGACGGGTTGAGGAACCTCACTTTGCACTGACCTTAACTGACAATCAAACTCAATATCAAAAGAGAGAGCCGAAATGTTAATTAGTTTTTCAGCAAATTGTCAATAAATAACCTAGGCATACCTATGGTATAGTATAGTATAGCTGACCTTGCATAGGCAATAAATTACAAAAGCTATGATTATAATCCAATTAAAGAGCAATTACCAGAGAAAGGCCTAATGTCCCAAAAGATGGTTGGAAATCAGGAAAATTTTTAAAGGGTAGCAACACCTCATGTCACACATAAGGGCATACACTCTAGTTGATGAGACACCCAGTAGTACTATGCTAGTACTACCAGGTTTCTCATCAAGTAATGAATGAAAGTAATCATTTGCTCCATTTGTGCACTGTCTGAAGAGTCGTCACACATAAGGGCATACACTCTAGCGCTTCTTGCCCTATTGGTCACCTTATTTTGAATCGTCTTCCCAATCGTTATTGCAATTTCACGTTGAATCCCGGTTGATCGATGGTGAAAATGTTTCATTTTAGTCAGCCCTAGGTGCTTTAGTAGACTTAGGAGTGACAACATTTTCTTGTTAGCGATACACTCACATGAAAGCCAGTACTGCACGTAAAAATCTGAAAATAGAACATCTTCGCTAACTTTTTGCCTCTCCATCCAGTTCATGTTTGAAAATGGACAGTCTGTTCATAATTTCAGACATAATAGCATCCTGGTGTCTGGCACCATCCCTGTGTCCAGTAATTTCATCTGTTTTCAGACGTACTGATGCCACTGTTAAGAATTGTTCTGACTTGTTGCGCATGTTCTTTGCTTGATACTTTCTGCATATCAAGCAGTAGCGGCCTTCACCCTTAACATAAACTAACCACCAATGACCACTTTTCTCAGAATAACTATGTTTTATTCGTGAGCCACTGGTGATTAAACATTTCCTTGTTGGCACATCGGTTGTGGCTTGGACTCCCAACCTTGAGGTCGGGGGTTCGGAACTCTGGCTGTGCAAATCGCTTGTGTCCTTGAGCAAGGCACTTTATCTACGGTTGCCTCTCTCCACCCAGGAGTACAATTGGGTACCTGGTAGGTTCCAACACAACTGCGCTGATTACTAGCTGCAATATTATGGAATGATATTATAATTTCATTTACTAATTTAATTTGGTGTTCAATGTGTTCCATATGTGTTTGATCCAATGACCGTGGTAGTAATGTGAAGCGCTTGGAGGCCTTGTAAAGGCATGAAGCGCTATATAAGAACGACATATTATTATTATTATTCTTGTGGCCTTAATTCGGCTCTTTTCTGCATGTCTGATTTCAGTACTCATATTTTCCCGGCATATTTGGAAGTGGTGGATTTTTTCCAGGTTTGTATCTGGGAAAAGTTTCACAATAATTTCTTGACTGTTTTTCATGCTTAAAGGGTCAACGTTGTGTCTGCTTTCTGTTTGCTTCTAGTACTACTACTGCTGGAATCTGTTACCTCTTCTGCATTAAGCTCGTGAGTGATTGGGTATAATGAATACATCATTTGTTTTTTTAGTCGAAAATCCTTTTAGAAAATGTCAAAATTATAAACTTCACCTTATTATGTACCTGCTCAAAAGTTTAGACGAGAAACATGTTTTTTGTTTTTTTGTATTATTTGGCCTAAAAGATAATGAATTCTCTCATCTAGCAATGCTACTCGGTGTAGTACGACAAGAAGTCATCGTGGGGCTTTCGATCACATGGTTTAGCAATCGTCCCAGATTCCTAATCCCACGATATCTCAAAATTGTCTGCGACAGTGAACTGCTATTGTCGGTGCGGTACACAGCGTGTTGTTCTGCTGTTGTATGATTAATTAATGATGTGTCAAAATAGTAAAATGTGTGTTAATATTACTATTATTATTTACATTATGCACATACATTGTTTTATCAGCAGTCGGGACAGTTGGCTAGTATGATGCGAGATTTAAAAAAAATATATAATAAATAATATATTATCAAACATACTTAGTACTAAACATATGAGAATGAGATATTTATGAATGCTACTAACCTGGTTCTAAACTAACATAATGACATTCTCCAGTATGCCGGAGAAGATGTGGTGATAATGATCTGACGACACTTTTGGTGAACATTGGATTTTATTAATGAGGTAACCTTGTTTCATGCTCTTTTCCTGACTTGTCATAATATCTATATTTCTACCAATCATTCTGTACCCTGAACGGCCACAGCATCGACCCATGTACCGACTTTACTCATGTTTGTCAGGTATTTCGGAGTAATGAGATCCGCAAGAGGATCGGAAGTGTCCTTCAAAAATAAGTAATATACGGTTATTTTGTCTACATAAACAAATTATTCCATATGTGCAACTTCAGCATGCAACTTCATTACCAACTCATAGAAATATTTCTTCAGTTCTACGAAATAGAAAAGAAGGGCCACATTCCATATACGGTAGGATAGTGTCTACACACTAATTAATGAGCAATTGCAAATTATGTTTCAATACTTAATAGTTTTTTCAAAAAAAGAATCAAATCCTGGCGCAGTTTTGTAGGTGGATATGGTGGAAGGCTAAGTCTGATCAACTGATCATTCACAGCTGCAAAAAAACAATTTCCATCGGCCGGAACATTTTTCCGTAGAGATAAATTTAGTTTTTTAAGGTTTTACAGCAACTTTGTGTACTTGTCAGTTGAATGTCACGTTTACTGACGGAGTAACACCTGTTTGCTTTTTGATTCAAAAATCGAAAAGCGAGGTTCGTTTTCGCTGACTCATGTCATTTCTACTTCAAACTTATAATGTATGTGCAATGAATGGAGGGAGTTGGTTTTGGATGATGGGTGCACTGGATGCAACATGATATCAGTGAGAGTGCGATCATAGGTACCGCAATCTGAAAGTTAAGTTTCTGTCGCTGCCGCCGCATCATTGTGAAATTGGAAAAAATCCAAGTAAAAGATAAATAGACCAACTGGAAAAATACCGACCGACCCTGATTTTTAATTAATTCATGTCTTTGGGCAACCCATGTAATGTTTTAGGCTACCCAATTAAATCGGCAAGTAAATTGTAGAGTATTTTTTAGTATGATGATGCGAAAAAAACAAACATAGATATGATATCGGTAGACAACTTTATCTTTATTGTAAACACACAAAAACGTTTCAAAATATTATCACTTTATATTTACACTTCAATTTGTTAAATTTAATCGTGATCATTGTCTGCAGTGTTAAGGGAGAGAAAATTACATTCAGTTAGTTATTCTCGTTGGACAAACGTCTACTGCAAAAACACTACATACAGTTCTTCCTTCTTGCCCTTGTTTATGTTCGGCGAAGGTTGCGTGATTTCCATGGTTGATGCCTCGTTTGAACTTCGAAAAAGGTTGTTGAGCTAAAGTGATAATCGTTCTCAGGCTACTAGGAGTGTAATACAGTATAGAATTTATCTGTAGTCTAACAATGTTTATGTAGACGTCAAAACATCGTGATTTACAACGTTTAAAGTATGCTTTTCAAATTTCGACTGGGCTAGTCCCATGGGGCCTTGGCTGAGGCCAGATTAAAAAATTATTTTACCTGAGGCTCATAGCCGGCGCACAAATCATAATTAGTAGAGTAGATATAGCTCAAAAAAGGGCATAACCCCCAAAATATTGCAACAAAAGGTTTTACTACGGATTTTGGTAGCATTAGATGTGTTAAATAACATACAAAAAGTCTTACAAAATCCGACCACCGGAAAGTGGTTTTTTTAAAGATATCATAAAACGGCTACAAATTGTATTGTAATTGCGGTTTTTATCGTCAATATCAAGTTTTATGAGTCAACAGGTCATTTGAGACAATTTTGAATGTGATCTGACCAATATGGATAAATTAAAAATGGCGTGAAAAATGGCCACCATGTATAAACAGCCATAAATATGTAATAACTACATTAGCATTGTTATTTGTTAATAATGTATGTAAATGTAAAAAACATCCAGCATCGCTTTATTTATCATTTAACATTTTCGCTATCTTATTTAATGTATGTGAACAAGTCTTGGAATAACCTGCTTTAAGCTTTCTGATTGGCTAAGTTGTCTTTTGTCAATATATTTGACATTAACAAATTTAGAAAAGTAACACTCAACACGGTAAACATGAATAAAGAGGCATCAATAAATGAGATGTGTATAAGAGACAGGTGTAGGCATTATGTTCAGAGGTAAGTCAAATTATCCTTATAGAGAAATACTTATTTTGTAATTTGGTATTCTAATACTATGAATATTAATATACTAAGGACACATTCAGAGATGTTTGATAACAAAAAACCTGTGTTTATATGGCAATGGCTAGGCTAGTCCTAGGTCTAGGCTAGGCCTAGGTATTTTTTGCAACAGTAACTCAGCCTGGCCATTTTTAGCCTAGTAAGCATACACATGAAAATGAAAGGTAGGCTTACATGTATTTAGTAGAATATGGAATAATCTTATAGTTTAAGAGTTTATATTATTATAATTATTAATATTATTATTATTATTATTGTTATTATTGTTATTATCATCATCATCGTGTTTAGAGTGGGCACTGAAGTTTAATAATAATGGATGTCAGTGGTGAATCGGATATATATAGGCCTAAATGAGGGAAGTGATGTAGTCAAAATTCGACAAAAAGGTGCAGATGGTATATATGCAGCCAGTGCAAAAAGAGGAGACAGTGTTTTTGTCAATGCTGGGCAGTTTGTGCACACAAGTTGTCGAAAAAAATTCACAAACCCTACTGAGGTAAGTAAAATATTATTCATTCAGTTAGTTGTTGTTAAGATTATTCTACTGATATATTTCATTCAGTTATTTTCATCGTTATTGCGTCTGCAGTGCCGAAACAGCAGGGATCTAAATTGAAGTTTTGATTGTGGCCAACTTTTTCATGCTCTTTTCTTTGTGTCTGCATAATAAATGTGTGTGCACATGTTTGCTATATCTTCAACATATTATTGACAATTACTTATTTTATATTTGCATTAGCTTAAAAAGAAAGCAGAACCCACTAGACCAACTATTAAGAGAAGTGCCAGACTAGCTACTGGTTCCTTTGATAGCAAAACTGATTGCCTCTTTTGTGGTAATGGCATCGTGCTTGGTAATTCCGATCACTGTTGTGTTAAGACAGATACATTTGTGACGTCAATTATAGAATGCTGTAACATTCGTAATGATGACTGGAGCATCACTGTTAAAGCTCGAATCGAGTACTATGGAAAT